AAACTACAATTTAATTGCCTCTATCTTAATCTATTGCACTCCTTTTTTGAATGTAAGACAGGATGTTTTTGGTTTTTTAATGGAACTAATTATATTTTAATGACAATAATTTTAAATATCTTGGTGAAAAATTTGGCTTATTTTTTAAGTGGTCATAATTTTTCTTTTTTTTTTTTTTTGAGGAAGATTAGCCCTGACCTAACATCTGCTGCCAATCCCCTTCTTTTTTCTAAGGAAGAGTGGCCCTGAGCTAACATCTGTGCCCATCTTCTGCTATTTTATATATGGCGTGCTTGAAACAACATGGCTTGATGAGCAGTGCATAGGTCTGCACCCAGGATCCAAACTGGCAAACCCCAGGCTGCCAAATGGAGTGCACAAACTTAACCTCTACGCCACCAGGCTGGCTCCTAAGTGGTCATATTTTCAATTTTTATTTATTTTTAACAGCTTCATTGAGATATAATTGATACATACAAAATTGGACATATTTAATGTATACAATTTGGTAAGTTTGGACATGTGCATACACCCATGAAAGGATCACCACAATCAAGGTATGGACATATAAGAAGGGTGTTTTAAACAATATTTCCTGTCAAATGGTATTCAGCTGAGTCTCGTAGGGGGATCTGTGAGCCCTGCAGATTAATAACAACAACCAGCATTTTTGAAGGGCTGACTCCTGACCCTCCACTATGCTGCACTTCTCTGTGGATGGTCTCTTCAATCCTCACAACCGCACCATAAAGTTGGTACTATCATTATCTCCACGTTATGATGAGAAAACTAAGACATAGGGCGCTTAAATAACCTGCTTAAATTAATGTATAGTTGTCTATTACCCCCAAAATGTAGCAGCGTAAAACAGTCATTTATTTTCTCAATAGCTTCTGAGGCTCAGGAATAGAGGCATAACTTGAGTAGGTAGTTCTGACTGACTCAGGGTCTCAAACTGTCTCATGAGGTTTCTCACAGCCTCTTGGACTGCAGCCCTAAGTTCCCTACAAGGACCTCACCACTGGATGCCAGCATGTCCTCAAGACATGACTCCTGGCTTCCATCAGAGTGAGTGATCCAAGAGAGAGAGCGCGCCATCTTTTTTTTAACTAAGTTTAGAAGTGACATACCATCACTTCTGCTGTGTTCTGTTGGTCACCAGGTCAACCCTGGCAAAATGTGTCAGGGAACTCCACAACGATGTGACTGTCATGTGGTGGACATCAATGGGAGGCATCTTAGATACTAGGTATGACACTTATTCACTACCAGGTGGCAGAACTCCATAATGAACCCAGGCAGTTTGACCTCAGTGCCTGAGCTCTTTGCCACTATGCTGAGAATAACTACAGAACACATATTTATGAGTGTTCATCCTTTTCCTAAAGGGGACTTTGGTAGAGTTCCTGGATAGTGATGGATGCCATTCAGTAATAATTGCTTGCCAAAGGATACCTGAAAATGTGAAAGAGATAAGAATATTTATCAAGGGCAGTAGACAAATAATCCAGATTTTATGCAGGTCATTGTGGAGAAGAAATGGCAAGGAAAGGCAGTGTGAGAAATCATTTCACTTAAACTCTTTTCCAAATATTATCTTTATTCTTAAATTTTTCCACCTCTCCTTCTCAACAAATCTCTCGGTTCTTTCAAGTATCATGTTGAGAAATATCTACGGAGGGCTTTATTTCTTAAAATTGTATCTTTAAAAAAAAAAACTCTCTGCTTTAGGTTTCCTATAGCTCACATTTAGTGCTAACATTTTTAAGAATGTTATAAAAGTTTTCAAATATCAACATGCCCTGTTCAGGGAGCTAAGTAATTTGGTAAGGGAATTTCTACTTGAAAAATCTTTGTGCATCAGTGCGGGATATAAATTCAATTGTCAGAAATCTGTGTTAGAACAGATTTCTTGTCATATTTTGCCACAGAGCAGAGATTTATTGAAAATGCTTGATGATATCGCTCTCTGAGCTGCTTTCCATAAACAGAGCAGTGGAGTGAAAGCTTTGAATTGTAGTGTCCGTATGTGTGTGTGTGTGTGTGTGTGTGTGTGTTTGTGACTCCCAAAACTGACATCTAAGGAGAAAATACCAAAAGGCACTTCAGTGCATGGTGTTGTATCCAACTTACTCAGAATGATTATTTTTGCAACAACTACCTTGTAAGTTGTTGTAGACTTCTGTGCCCTTTTAGAAATGAATCATGGATCAAAACACCTCAAAACCAAAGCGTGGAATACTGACTCTTCTATTTCATGTCAGGGACTAGAAGAATGGGAATTTTCAAAATACAGAAACATATAACAGATTTATTATTTTTTAAAGACCTTCTATTATTTGCAAAGCTTTTGTACTTAGATTAGTAGTCAAAAAGCAAAACGCTTAGAAAGTAAAATTTCTTTCTTCGGTAACAAAAGCCTTGGAACTGGAATATAAATTTAGTCTCTTGGGTTCTCTCAGTTCTGTAATTTATAAATTTTGTGTCTTGCCAAAATATTTTATGTTTCTCCATTCAAATTTATTCAGCTTCGACCACGAGATATTTATGAAATTCTTTTTCTAAATGTATTATAAAATATTGGCTAAGTTCAAATAATAATAGTGATGAGGAAATATGCACAATTTGTGGAGTGGGTGCCTTCTATATCTAAGGGAGACTGTCATTGTCGCATTTATTTATGAGTAAAATTTGTCAACACAGGGAAGGATTTGCAATCTGGTGATCAACATAAATGACAGTACAATGATCCTGTTTGATCCATAAGATGGGTTAAATCATTAAGTTGACTGCCGCAGAGACTGGGATTTTGAGTTTTCTGAATACAGACTATGTTATCATATGACTTTTATTTACAAATATATTCAGGTCTATTATTATTATTATTATTACTATGGTAACTATACACTCCAGGAGGCTAAATAATACATTAAACCACTTAAAAAGTCTCCAGTGGGTTAAAATGACAGATTTCTAAATATTGCTTCTAGAAACACCTTCCTATTAACTCACTTGAAAAAATGTGCAGTACCTCTTGTGCTGTACTGTGAGACACAAAGACTACACAATGACCACCTCTCTCTTTAGGGGATTTGTTATCGTTTTGGCTGGTGTCTGGCTTGAATCTCTGATTCTCTTTAAAAATTTCCTTGTCATTTTTTTCTTTTCTTTTTTCTGCGTCTGTTCATGTGTTTGTATATCCACAATTTACTTTTTATAAAATACCTTTATTGAGGCGTTGTGCTGTATACCACTTACTCAGAAATTTTCATTCAATTCTTCCCAAAAATAATTTGGAAAACCTGTATCACCTCACACCTTTGTAATTTGACATTTAAAGTAGTTTGTTATAAAAATCTGTGAAAGATGTAATTTTTCTGGTATACCGCTCTTCTAAATAACTCCAAAAGCATGAAAATACCATAGCAACTTGATATCCACCGTAATTCACTTACAAAATACGTGAAGAAGCTCTTCTTTAACAGAGAAAAAGTTACATCACTCATGTTTCTACTTGAACTAGTATCTACATTTCACTTTCCCCACAGAATAATATACAAATGACATCTATTTATGTGAGTGTCTTTTATTGATCAGCTCTTATTCCTTTGCAGCATTATCTTTTTATAAACTGAAATTGTATGTTTGTATTATAAGCTTATGTAAACGTAAGTCTTTAGCTGCTATTTTTTTCTTCTGAGTTGAGTTAACATTACAATTAGTATTTAACCTACTTAAAAGAATTAGTCCTCATTGTGAAACCAATCAATCAAAACCTTTTTTTCTGAAAAAGCCTGACTTCGTTTTTCAATTCAAATAAGCATGTTCTAAATACACTGAAAAATAAATTCTGGAATGCAATTTTAAAAACTAGTTTACTAGAAGTAGCCCTTTTTATTTAAAGTGTTATATATTTAATATAATTACTCTGCATTTTAAGTTAAAAAATATTTTTTAAATCTACATATTGTTTCTAACTGATTTACAATATAATTTGTATGTGTGATTATGAAGTTGCTTATGTCAGAGGAATGTGACAGAAAAAGAAAGGTTTTCTCTTGGCAAATGTGCATGCCTGTGCTTCTCAAACTCCAGTAATTAGTATTATAGTATAACGAAAAATAATGTATATAACAGAAATAGCTCCCTTAGTTTCATAGACAGGAATATACTGCTGAAATTGATCATCCCAGTGGCTGGTTTAAATTTTATTTTTTGTTAATATGAAGTAGGGAATACTAAACAGCTTGTAAGATGATATAAGATGAAGATTGACTACAATTAGAGTAAATATTTTGTAATATGATATAATTGAATAGATATTGAATAATGGAATTGACAGTGTTCACTAAACCTAGAAAATATGGTGTGAGATATTTATCTGTGTGTTTAAGCCAGCATAACTAAAAAATGTTTGACATTCTCAGAAAATATCCAGTTACATTTAAATTTATGTGTCACTAAGTTGCACTGTTTTGGCTGTTTAAAGGTATTTTCTTTCTATTTATATATAAATCCTTATCATGATTATTGAGAATATACCTTACTTTTCTCTCTCCATACTACATCTCAAAAGCATTACATTCTTTCACAAAATTAACAGAAAATTCCCATTTCCTCAGCCCACTCTACACAATATATTTGATTTCTGAACAACCTAACATTCTTAATGTCGTTCTTACTTAAGGAGAAAGAATATGACAAAAACAAAACAAAACCCAGGAAGCCTTAAGGTGGCTTCAGGGTGGATTGTTTCTTTCTTTGAAACCATAGAAAGTTTAAACCTCAGGGTAAGGCTCTGTATTAAGGTGCTTGAGGAGTGAGCTTCTTTTCTAAAGTGAGAAAGGGACTTTCTCGAAAGAGAAGTAAGTAAAGGAACTTACAAGACACTATGAAGAGCGTGCATGGAGTTGAAGATGTGAAAATTGATCATTTCCTTTTTGCTTGTTAGGTAGATACATAAAGATTTAAAAAATAATCATAATATCTTTGTTTTGCAGCTGTTGTGAGCGCCATCCCTGTGCCAACCCTAGAAAGTGCCCAGTACCCAGGAATCCTTCCATCTCCCACGTGTGGATACCCCCACCCGCAGTTCACCCTCCGGCCTGTGCCATTCCCAACACTGTCAGTGGACCGAGGTTTCGGAGCAGGAAAAAGTCAGTGTAATGATTTTCCTTTCTTTTTACTAAGAAGAAGTGAATAATACCAAGGATGTCTTGTCAAATGTGTAGCATTCTAACATTCTTATCCTTTGGAAAGATCGCTTTACCTGTGACCTGGGTACTAGAATTTTCTTTTCCAATGTCAGTCCTTTGGATCCTACTTATATACTCTGGGAGTGAGTCTCTTAGAGTCTTTCCACAGTACATTGAACTCACAATGTGGGAGTCCTGGAGAAACAGAGTTAACTGGTTCAGTAACAATGATGTGATGGGTGCTTGAAATTAAGATGTTTTGCTAACCAGGAAGTTAGTAATGAAATGACTATCCTCCAATATATTTTAAGTATCTGTGGGTTATATTTAAAGATGTCTCATTGATTCCTGTTGAATCAATACTTGGATGAATGCTTTAGCTTTCTTTAGTTAAATAAGTTAGGCAATACCTTTTTTATCTTTAAGAAATGATTGTTGAAAAAAAAAGATTTCGAGTAATATTTCATTTGTTTTATTTATTTTTCCAGCTTAAATGAGATGTAATTGACATGTGACATTGTGTAAATTCAAGGTGTAAAATGCATTGATTTGATACACTTATATATTGTAAAATGATTACCATCATAGAGTTAGCTAATACCCCCATCATGTCACATAATTACCATTTCTTTTTTGTGGTGATAACATTTAAGATCAACTGTCTTAGCAGCTTTCAAGTATATAGGACAGTATTATTAACTATAATCACTATGCTGTATGTTAGAACCCCAGAACTTATTCATCTTATAAGTGGAAGTTTGTACTCTTTGACCTACATCTCCCCATTTCACCATCCGCTAACCCCTGGTAATCACCATTTTAGTCACTATTTCTATGTGTTTGGCCTTTTAGATTCCACATATAAATAATATCATATGGTATTTTTCTTTCCCAAACTTATTTCACTTAGCGTAATGCCCTCCATGTACATTCATGCTGTTGCAAAAAGCAAGATGTCCTTCTTTCTCATGGCTGAATAATATTCCATTGTGTATATCTCCTACGTCTTTATCCATTCATCCATTGATGGACACTTAGGTTGTTTCCATATCTTGGTACTGTGAATAATGATGTAATGAACATAGGTCTGCAGATGCCTTTTCAAAATCCTGCTTTCATTTCCTTGGATATATACTCAGATCAGATAGTAGTTCTATTTTTAATTTTTTGAGGACCTCCGTACTATTTTCCATAGCAGCTGCACCAATTTACTTTACCACCAACAGTTCAAAAGCATTCCCCTTTCTTCACATCTTTGCCAACGCTTCTCTTGTCTTTTTGATAATAGCCATTCTAACAGATGTGAGGTGATATTCATTGTGTTTTTTTTTAATTTTTATTTTTTTCGGATGTACATCATATTTCAAATTCTGGATACATTACATCATGTTCACCACCCAGACACTAATTATAGTGCATCCCCTCTCATGTGACCCTAATCACCCCTTTTGCCCTCCCCCCTCCCCCATTCCCCAATGGTAACCACCAGTCCAATCTCCAATGCTATGTGTTTATTTTTTTTTTTGTCGTTTTTATCTTCTACTTATGAGTGAGATCATATGGTATTTGACTTTCTCCCTCTGACTTATTTCACTCAGCATAATACCCTCAAGGTCCATCCATGTTGTCACAAATGGCTGGATTTCGTCATTTCTTATGGCTGAGTAGTAGTCCATCGTGTATAAATACCACATCTTCTTTATCCATTCCTCCCTTGATGGCCACCTAGGTTGCTTCCAAGTCTTGGCTATTGTGTATAATGCTGCAATGAACATAGGGGTGCAAGTAGCTTTATGCCTTTGTGTTTTCAAGTTCTTTGGATAAATACCCAGCAGTGGAATAGCTGGATCATATGGTAGATCTATCCTTAATTTTCTGAGGATACTCCAAACTGATTTCCATAGTGGCTGTACCAGTTTGCACTGCCACCAGCAGTGAACAAGGGTTCCCTTCTCTCCACACCCTCTCCAACATTTGTTGCTTCCTGTCTTGTTAATTATAGCCATTCTGACCGGAGTGAGGTGATACCTCATTGTAGTTTTGATTTGCATTTCCCTGATAGCTAATGATGTTGAGCATCTTTTCATATGCCTGTTGGCCAACTGTATTTCTTCTTTGGAGAAATCTCTGTTCAGATCTTTTGCCCATTTTCTAATTGGATTGTTGGTCTTTTTGTTGTTGAGCTGTATGAGTTCTTTGTATATTTTGGATATTAACCTTTATCTGAAATGTGGTTTGCAAATATCTTCTCCCAATTGTTAGGTTGTCTTTTCGTTTTGTTGATGGTTTCCTTTTCTGCACAGCAAAGGAAACCATCATTGTGGTTTTGATTTGCATTTCCCTGATGATTAGTGGTACTGATCACCATTTCACATACCTGTTGGCCATTTGTATATCTTCTTTGGAAAAATGTCCATTCAGTTCTTTTGCTCATTTTTTTAATCCAATTGTTTTTTTGCTATTGAGTTGTGTGAGTTGGTTATGTATTTTGGATATTAACCCCATATCAGATATGTGGTTTGCAAATATTTTCTCCTATTCTGTAGTTTTCATTTTTATTTTGTTGAGGATTTTCTTTGCTGTGCAAAAACTTTTTAATTTGATATTGTCTCACTTGTTTATTTTTACTTTTGTTGCCTTTAATTTTGATGTCAAATCCAAAAACATCATTGCCAAGATGATGTCAAGGAACTTACCGCCTGTATTTTCTTCTAGGAGTTTTACGGTTTCAAGTCTTATGCTCAAGTGTTTAATCTATTCTGAGTTGATATTTGTGTATGATGTAAGATGATCTATTTTATTGCTGTTACTGTTTTATCTATTACAAAACAACCTATCTCACATGAGTCCAGATTCCTTCTTTCACATATGACAATTCAGCTTTCCCAACACCATTTACTAAAGAGAGTATTCTCCCCTCCATTGTATATTCTTGCTTCTTTTGCCTTAAATCAATTGAACATATATGCATGGGTTTATTTCTGGGCTCTCTGTTCTGTTCCACTGATCTATGTGTCTGTTTTTGTTCCTGTACCTTGCTGTTTTGACTACTATAGTTTTGTAATATAGTTTGAAATCAGGAGGTGTGATGCCTGCAGCTTTGTTCTTCTTTCTTAAGATTGCCTTGATTGTTTAGGGTCTTTTGTGGTTTCATACAAACTTTGGGATTGTTTGGTGTTTTTCTGTGAAAAATGTCATTGGAAATTTTATGGGGATTGGACTGAATTTATAGATGGCTTTGAGTAGTATGGACATTTTAACAATATTCATTCTTCTAAACCATGAGCATGTAATATATTTCATTTTATTTGTGTCTCCTTCAATTTCTTTCATCAATTATTGTTTTCAGTGTACAGATCTGTCAGCTCCTTGGTTAAATTTATTCCTAACTATTTTATTCTTTTTGATGCCATTGTAAATGAGATCATTTTCTTAATTTCTCTTTCTGATCATTCATTGTTAGTGTTTAGAAACACAACTGATTTTTGTATCTTGATTTTATATCCTGAGAATAGTACTTCATTTGTTTTAAGGAAGGTAGAAATGGAGAGAGACTCTCAAGCTATTATATGTACTCTGGTGATTTTTCCTATGCCATTTGACTATTATTTTTCTTTAAGCACAGCATTTTAAAATCGATTTTATGGCATTCTTCTCTTAGTTAAGGACAGGTGACTCAGCAGCTATGTGAGATAGGTTGTTTTGTAATAGATAAAATGGTAACAGCAGTAAAATATATTTGCAGGATAGCTATATTTTTTCCAACCCAACAGGGACAGCTCTAGGAAATCATAAATCGTCTAGATGTAGCAAGGTTAGAATTAAAAGGCATCAAAAATCTGCCAAGAGAGAATTAGATTTATTTTCCCTTTTCTCACTGCACACCATGTCTACAGAATAGAGTTGTGTGCAAAAACGCAAGGAAAAACAGTCCCCCAAACCATATTGAAGGAAATTAAATGAGAACGATGTGAGAAATCCCTCAACCCCAAATTTCCAAATCCCAAGACAATTAAGAAAGTGGTTCTAGTCAAAGAATTCAGAACCTAAAGTCCTTTCAAAATGATCTCTCCCCAGCAGAAAAGAGAGGTTTATAATTTTAGTTTGGTTTTCTCCTTATTGGATCATTCTTTACTCCTTTCTTTTGATTTCATCTATATTCTCTAACTTTAAAAGAAAGTGTAAGAAGAATGTGTACAATGACCTGCATCTGTTCACTACGGCAAGCCTGAGACAAGCCAAAGTTCACTACTTTTTTAAAATTAGTAATTAGCTATTTTATTTTCTTCATGCTGTGTTCCTGTCGTTTCTTTTCCTTTTTTAAAGGCATAGTCTCCTTCTGAAAATCCAGCATCCTATATACTCCTTCCTTTTTCTCTTGATTTGGTCCAGCAGGCAGAACTGTCTCACTGAATCGTGGGGAAAATGATTCCAAAAGTTAAATTTCAGTGAAAAAGAAAACAATAAATAAGCTGGCATAAAATTTGTTTTTATCTGTGGTTAGGAACCACAGATTTGTTTATATCTGTAGTTAAAGCCTCGTGTACCACTCTGGTGCAGGATGTTGTAACTGAGGCCGGCTGTGCCTATGTGGAGTCAGGGAAATGAGAAATCTCTGTACATTCCCCTCAATTTTGCTGTGATCGTTAACCGAAAATTGCTCTAAAAAGTAAGGTCTATTAGAAATAAATAAGCACATAAAGAAAGAAAAGGATACAGAAAAATCTAGTCTCTTAGTAAATTTTTTATTTTATTTATTTAAAAGTAAGGATCATTAAATAAAGGTCATAATATAACTATTATATCATATATAATATAAATATAAAAGATGTAATATAACCATTACATAAAGTTTTGTGAATAAAGGATTCTTAACAGTGTGATTAGCTTAATAATTTTTGAACATCATGTAAAACCAAAAGGCACGGACATTCTACTCCTGGCCAAGATTTCATAGATTTTTAAAATATACATTCAGTTACTCATAAAGTATTTTTCAGCAATGCTATGTGCAATGCAAAAGGAATAGGAACTAATATGCGTTTCTAAGTGATTGCTTCAAAAAGGAAAATAAATAAGTACCCTCTTTTCTAGGAAACTAAATATTCTCTAAATCACTGTCAGAACCAGTTAACTTCCAGCCATTCAGCATCGGTTTCTAAATGCCTTGGAGAACTCTAAATATCCCTGTTCTCTCTCAAGCAGAAAACATTTCATGACTCTGGCTGGAAATGTCTTATTAGTCACCTTGAGAAACAGCAAAAGGCACATAGGAAAAGAAAAATTTGACTGCGCCAAATGTGGAGACGCTCCTTCCTCCAAAGTTACCTGAAAGACCTTTAAGTTTTCAAGAACTGAGTGACTAAAATCCTGTCGCTCCCCCCCCCCAAGATCTATTGCTTTCTGAAGTCACAAATAAAGCTGAATTTCTCTCCTACCGCAACGAAAGGAAAGCTATAGGATACTGTCCATTGGCGTTACACACGTTCAGTGATCCATAGATAAAGATTTATATAGTTGTGATGGACAAATATTTCCTCTTCCTGCTAATGAACGGCAGTTCTGCTTTTAGTCTAAAGAGGCAAATGAGCTGAACCTGGGGAACAACCAGCAGCGCTGTATTTTGAAAACCTCAACCAATAGATAGTCTTGAGGCTTCATTTCTACAAATCACTAGAAAATTGGTGCCCCTATTTCTTCATCTTTGAAACAGGTAGGTACCAAAGAAAATTCGATGATTTCCACTATTCCTTTTAGTTCTGTCTTTGTTAGTAGGAAGACTGGTCGACTTTGTCCATGTTATTTTTCTGCTCCAGCTCTCCCCCAAATTGGAAGTCAACCAACAAATGAGACTTGACCTAGATAAAACCAGGAGCACAATGGAGTTCATGGATTTTCTCTAGGGTCTTTTCAAATATCCAAGCTGTAAGGAACTGAGGTTACACAGGAATATTGCATGGCACTGTTCTTCTGAGATTAATGAGTGAATTGAATTCTGAGAACTGTTCGTGTGTTGAAGTCTTTGCTTAGAGTCATTGGTGTGCTATATTTCTTTCAAATATTGCGATTTTAGATAGAAGAAAAATCCTCATTTCCATTTTTGTAATATTTTTGCTGGTTATTCAGTAGCAATTATTTATGTGTTGACATTAATTATTATAAAGTGCCTTGAGATTTGACTCTGCTGTGTAATTGTATGCTATTTGTACAATGAATTCCCACTATTTCATCATTGGAAAACGAGTGTCTTGCCAGCACATATTTGATTCTCACTTTACTCTGAATTGCAGGGAGGCCGCACATCGTGGGTGGAAGGAGGTTTTCTTTGCTTTCAGAGCTCTTAGCACAGCTAAATGTCATGTCACTGAGCCAGTTTGTTTCACTTAGGTGTCCTGAAGCTGGTGCCTGAACTGGCCAAACGGACTCATCTGAAATGAGAGCTTTTCTCCAGGGGAGCAGTTGCTACTGTGTTTGTTTAAGAGTTTTCACTGCCTTAAATGTCAGCCAGTTCTGAAAAGCCTTACTTTTCCTCCACGAAAAATATAAGAATTATGAATTGTCTGTGGAAAACCTGTACCTTGTCCACTGTATTAGGTATTAGGCAAAATTGTCATTTTGAACAAAATAAAAATAGGTCTTTATGGATTAGTGATGCATTCAGTCTCGAGAATAGCCCTCGCATTCCCACCTAGCACATTAGATTAGGCACTTTCTTTTTCATTATATGGTATATTAAGGATTGATTTCCCTAAAGAGCTGGTTCATCTGTGTCAAGCTACCATTACTTCCCTCAAAGTCAAGATCCAGACCGTGGTGTTCCCAGTGGGAATCATGACGACCAGCTGGAAACCCGGGGATGGAGGACTGGGCATGAAGAGAATTTTTGTTTGTAGAGATGCTGATTAGCAATGCCATTAAAGAGAATAGGAATGAGAGTGGCCCCCAAAATGAGTGACGTCATCAGAATTCATGTGAAGCCTGAGGTTTTTAAAAAACTAAATTTCAGAAGACTAAAAATGTGCACGTAAATTTTATTAAATCTATGATCACAATAATATTTCAACATGGATCTTTTTCATTTCAAAAATGTAGAAGAAATAGAAAAGGAAAATACGAAGGAAGGAATAAAGAAATAAAGACATCACAAAACATATTCTTTCTTTAATGGCTAAAGCAGTTTTGAAACTGTGATATGAATTTATTGCAATCCATTTCAACAGAGACAATTACTTAAGGCAGATTTCTGAGGAAAACTGTGAAATTTCTTCCCCTCAGGAGGTATTTTTAATATGATAATATGGACTCTTTAATAAAAACCATCCCATTGGCAATGAAGAGGGACCTAGATATAAGTTCCTACAGCTTCTTCTCCCTCTTCCAGAGCTGAGATAGAGAGTACTTTTATTTGGACCATTGGCTTTTGGTCATTTTTCCCTTTAGACCAAATATGAGGCCAGAGTAAAATCTGCATAATTTTCCTCATCTCTAAAACTCCTCTCTCAACCATCTAATTACACAGTCTTAATTAAACATAAGCACACAAATGCTCCTCTCCCCTTTACATTCTTACAAGCAGTTTAGCTCCTTATAAACACCTACCTGAAGCCCCCATGCCTTTTGCCCTTATCTGAGAACAATATCATCAAGGATTTGCCTTAACGATTTCCTTGCAGCCCACATTATAACCTTGAGATTTTGTAGGTGTGAGCCCCTCGCCTTCATCTTCCTGGCCTAGAGATAAGGCACTTCTGGTCAGTTTGTTGTCTTGATTAATTTTCCTTGTTTGAAGAAATCTTTTAAGTCTTTGCGTGTTTTTTAGCTCTCGTTGCTATGTGGCTATATTCTGTCCTCAGCCAACCCTACGTCTCTCCTCCTCCGTCTTTGAATGTGGCAAGCCTGAATGCTGCTCAGTGACCCAGAGGACCTCTAACCCTTTCTGAATATAGAAAAAATGAGTTTTAATATCAAATACCCTCTGAAGGCACATTTCACTTTTGCATATCTTTAATATTATGTCTTGATCTTTGGTATCTTTCATCTCTACTCCCTTCAGCATTATCAGATTTTCTTTCTATCTCCTCTGCCCTTTGCTGACCTCACTGAGCCTCCCAGAGAGTGGTCTCAAAGTTAGCTCACAAACTAATTATCTTGAAATATTTCCTGGTTAAAAATTCTCTTTCGAAAGTGAGATTTTATCATCTATAACTGCATTTTTTTCCAACTTACCCAATAGAAGTCTCTTAAGAAATGAATCATGAGCATACTCTTATTTCATCACCACTTATACCTACGATGCAGTGCTTTTCATTTGCAGTTAACTTGGACCTGTTGACTTTGAATGTGAATGAATAAAGTCAAGTCACAGTGTCCTTTGCACTGAGGACTGAGAATCTGCCTCACCAATAATTTAGTCTGACTCAACTGTGTTCTCTGGAGAAAAGGTGTGTTTCCATATAAAAAACTGTCTAATACCCAAAGGCTGTCACAAATGGCTATGCAAAACCTCTTCAACTATAGTAATCTGACTGAAAATTACAAGGTTTGCTACCAAAGAGGAAAAATTGCAATTCTGCATTCAGGCATCTTGTTCCAGCAGAATCATCTCACATATAACTTTTTAGTTAGATGTGCTTCTGTTTTGTTAGGGAAGATAATGATAGTGGTTATTATTTGTATCATTTTATTAGCAATGCCTTGAGCATCCGGTAACTCTGATTTGTTTGACAGTTGACATGGCATGTTTAAATCACAGAAAAATTGGCATATTGGCTGGTAGATAATAATGCAGCTGTAGCCGGGTTTGGTACATTGAATTTCACTGACATTGCTACTTATGAAAGGAAAAATAACTCTTTTTTCTCGCTTCATCACTTATGATTACAGGGCCCAGACAGTTTAGGCAATATAGTCAGTGCTGTATATATTTTACTGCACTCTCTGAAAGATATATCCCTGTCCTGGTGGATCTATTTCTTCTGTTTAAAGGAGCAGTGCTATCGTATCCCATAAACATAAGAGGATAGAGGAATAAAGATGTTCATAACTTGAAGAAGGGATTGGCCAGATCTTGGCATATTTCTCTTAACTTGTCCAGAGGCCCCTCAAGTGACTCAGGGAAAGCAAGTTTTGTCCTGGAATAATCAATGGCTTTTCTTGTCTCCATTGCAGCGGTGAGTGAAGGACCAACCACCCAACAGCCGTCCATGTTGCCCCCAACTCAGCCTGAGCATCCCAGCAGTGAGGAGGCACCAAGCAGAACCATCCCCACGGCCTGTGTTCGACCAACCCATCCACTCCGCAGCTTTGCCAACCCTTTGCTACCTCCGCCAATGAGTGCAATAGAGCCGAAAGTCCCTTATACACCGCTTTTGTCTCAGTCAGGTAAAGTGTGCACTTGTCCACATTTAAAATTGTTGTTAGGATTGGTGACTCTACTTAAGTGCATGAGGATTCCTGAGAGGCCTGGATGCAATATATCTTTTCAACACTGATTACGTGCTCAGTATGCTCAAATCTGTTATGGATACTTGTAGTACAACTCTCAAGTATCTGCCTTACAAGCAACTGGCTGGTTGTAGGGGCCTTTCATTCCTTTGGAAAGTTGTTTGTTAATCCTGATTACCAGTCCAGTCCTATTAATGTATACTGTAGGTATGCCCACTGGAGAATGCTGGAAAATTTCCTGGTTCTTCAGTCTGCCACATAGATCCCAGGATTTAACACTAGACTCCAAGACTAGAGTTAAAGGTTCAAAAGCCTGCAAAACCACTTTTTAGAGAAATGCATTTAATCTTATACTTCTGCTTTGAGGCTTTCAATAGTCATCTTCCAGTGATTCTTATTTCAGAATTCCAGGGCCAAAAAAGAGTGGCAGAACCATTGTGGAGTCCAGCTAACTAATTTTAGAAATAAAAATTCCAAAACTTATATAGATAGGAAGTAACATCTCTTTGATGCCTTTCTAAGAAAATCAGATGGGAGAGATGAGAACGAAAGTCTCCAGTTCACAATGCAGTGTTCATGTTATGACCTCAGCTGGTATCCAGTGGGGCTGAACTAGAGCTCCTTTTTGGTTCTGTTGAGGATTAAAGGGAAGAAGGGGAGGCAGCGAGGGAGAAGGAAAGAAGAAGAAGAAGAAGAAGGAGGAGGAGGAGGAGGAAGATGAGGATGAGGACGAGGAAGAGGAGGAAGAGATAAATGAGATGAAAGATAGATCAATAGATAAGTAGATACATAGAGATAGAGAACTGTGTAGTGCTTAAAATTATGTGGAATATTAGAATAATTCTTAACAACCTCAGTATATCAGGCATAAGACAGTAAAGTTCAGTGGTTCCAAGTAACCAGAGGTGGCCCCCTCAATAGACAGAGGCAGCTGAAACGGCCAATCTGCCATCGTGTAAATACATTTGAGTAAGTTTCTGTTGCTCAGATCCATACCCACAGCAATTTTAGTCACTGATTAGTACATAAGCCTCATGATGACTAAAAAATTGGAAAAATAAGATTGCAATTATGAATATTACCTTCATAATAATATTAGGAATATATCTTGTTCCTAGCACCATATTAATTGATTTGTGTGCTTCACCTCTTGATATGCTTGCCATTCATGTGGTGTGTAATATGCATGCTCAGATGCCACGCCCGGAGAGCTGGCCTGAAGCACAAGAGGGACGGCAATTCCATCACTTGGGATGCACATTATACTTCAGGCCTGGCCAGGAAGGGATCCTCCCTGACACATAGGCTCAGCGCAGGTCATGACTTTATTTCACAGGAGATAGCCCTTCTAACCTAAAAGAAGCCCACCCTAGGATTTAAGCAGGTCTGTATGGCACAAGCCCCTCTCCTACCCCTCACATATAAACACTCCACACACATTATGAGAACGGGCTGCTACTTTATATTGCCCCGAAACTGTGAGGTCCTTGCTAATTGAGACAGGGACAGTTTGAAGCGAGAGAATTCATTTAACCAATTCCTATGTCAAGAGCGTGCTGCTGGTGATTGCTGGCTGCACTGTTGCCCACTGCGATACCGACCAAGGGAAAAAACCTTGGAGGAGACTACTATTCTGGATAGATGGCAAGTTAATTGCAACTGCTAACAATAAGTAAGCCTTACCCAACATGCTATATGATGGCGTGCTTCTGAAGACTTGTAGCATCACATTTGATCCTCAAAACAGCTTTGTGAGGGAGTCACTTTCTTAACCCCGTTTCATGGATAAGGAAATTGTGACACAGAGAGTTTAAGTAGCACATTGAAGTCTACGCAGCTAGCGAGTGATGCATCTTTTCCTACTCTTTTCGGTTGCAGAAAGTGTGAGTTTGAAATTTTATGAACTCATTAGTACCTCTTAGTTTATGCCTAACTTATTTACTGACTAAAACAACAATAATTTTTTTTAAAAAACCTATTAAATTAAATCATTCCAAAGCTGATAATAAGAAAACAATGGGAAACATGAAAGAATTCTGAGTTGAGGAATAGCATTTCCTCACAAGCCTTCTTCACTCACGTTTTAATGAGGAAAGGTAAGAGATTGAACTATTCTATACTGAAGAACACCAATTTTATAACATCAAAAAAAAAAAAAAACCCTAAAGTGCCATGGTACTTTGTACTGTTAACTATCCTGTCTGCTTGGAAGTAAAGATTATTTTTTGGAGTAACTATGTCATACACAGTAAAAACGTTGAAAATGATTTTCTGAAGATATTTTCAATGAAGATTTTATTGTGGTAGTAGTGTTCGGTTTGGAACACAAGGTTTAGAAATAAACCCATTCTCTGGCGATCCATGATAACAAAATGACCCCAAAGAACCCTAATTTTAGAAAGAACGTCAGGCAATAGACAGAATAAAGGACTGGTATTGTCATTTGCTAGTTACTGTTTTCTTCTAGTTACAATAATGCAAAAGCTGCCTCAAATTCTGACACAATGTAGCATAAATGAGTGTATTATGTCTTTAAAAGATGGGAAATAGAATCCGTTCTTCTGTCTCTGCACCTATTCTCTCAAAAAAATAAGTATATCCGAAGAACCATTCTCTGATCTAATGTCATGTGGGCAAGATCTCATTTTCTTTTATTCCATTGTACATTTATGAGGCTTCTTTTGTTTTACTATTGGTCTTATTTTTATTCGAACAATTTCTTACAAGCCATCTCTTCTTTCATATTTTCCATATGTCTGGCTTAAGTTTTGGGGTGGATTTTATATTTTTCATAGTTCCCCCTTAAATGCCACCCTCCCCCACTCACCTCGAGGCACTCCTCGCCATCGCTTTGGCATTATTAAATGCCTTTCCCTTTCATGTTTCTCCTTCATTGTCTCCCTGTGATTCCTGTTCATTTCATAAAGTCTTACCTCATGATTTTCAAATAAGTGCTCCCTGCATTGCTCCTGACACGTGGTAAATAGTCTGCTTTTAAGAAAGGGCTGATGTTTACTTATTCTAATAGAAAAAGAAAATTAGCAGACTGACAAATGTATTAGCTGTGACAGTAACAACATGCTTCTTAGCCTAAAAGATGAAATACTTAGAGCTTTCAACAGATTTTAATTCTAAGAAAATCATTACTTTAGTCTCACTGATTGATGAAGTAAGGTCATTCTCTTGTCGGCTTAAAAAAAAATACCTCAAATCATTTCATTCTGGATTTCGCAATAAAGGACTACCTAATTTCCTAATGAATTTATCTTTACTTACTGCAAGTAATTACTTTAGAATATGGTAATGTAAGGCATTGCTATAATTTGTAAAGATCGTGCCAAATGAGAAGCTCCTGCTTTGAAACTTTTGAAAGAGGGATCAATGAAGAAGCTCTTTGCCAATTCAAATTCCTGTGTGTGGTTCTTCACAGGCAGCATAGCCAAGCTGTGCCTCAGTTTACCTTTCAATAAGACACACAGAGCCGTGTTTGCAGCAGTTTTATATGAAGTATAGGGCGACACGTATTATGGAATATGATCTCCATGGAGTCGTAGAGAATTTTGCAGTATTTCTATAGTAAATAGTAATTAGAAAGTCATCCTGTTGTCATAACGACGGAAATTCTGCCTACCTGAAAAGACAGATTTCATTCATTCATTGTTTTTCCTTCCACCTACTGAGTTAAAAATTTAGTTTGTGAGACTCGAGGGTATTTTATGATGTTTCTTACAGTTTCATCGTCGCCTCGTGATAAAGCAGGTGTTTCTTAATGCTTCCTCTATAGCTGTGAGTACCTGTGAGGTCTTTATGCATTTTAAGGAGGCTGCAATCAGTGCGATTTGCAAATCACAGAGGTGGACATATAAGTGATTTGACTTAGTGCCCTTTCAGGTTAAATAGAAAATGTTTGATGGAGTGTTGGGCTTATGGCATTATAGATCTGACATAAATTCTACAAAGGGCCAAGATAGGGTGGTTTTTTTTCTTCACTAGTGAAAATTCCTTTTAGCCATGAAATGATCAGCTGCACTTTAAATGAACCTGGGTTAGGAGACCATTTGTCTTCTGGAGCTATAATTCTAAAGGGAAGGAAAATGTGCCCTCTTAAATAGTCAGTTTCCTATCGTAGCACTGTTTGACAATGTTAGCCCCCTGGAGTTCTTGCATCTTTGTAAAGTTGCGTAAGTGCTATATTGTCCTCCATTTATCTGTTGCATTTCTCCAGATTTTTATTTATAAAAGCAAAAACCTAGAACATTCTGATCTTTTCAATCTTCTAGGGATCAATACGTCAGTGGACATGACAAGACCAAAACTCTCTTCATTGTACTGCGAAATTGAGTTTGATTTTCCCTCTGCAAATTGTGGCATGTGCTTCAATTTGTCTGAGAATTGAGGACAAGGCGTGGGTGGAGGTGGCTGACAGTGGACAGAAAAGGCATTTGATTTATATTTTATGGCTGGTTGGGAAATCATGTGTTCCTGCTATAACCTGGTCTTTTTAGCAGGCCTCATTTCAGTAAATACGCTATCACACAAAACTGCCAATAAATTACCGTAATACATTAATACAATTGCTTTCTCTGAGCCACTTGTAGGCCGGTAAGGGGGTGTTCATCACGGATAGCACGAGTATTCCATTCTGCTGAGATCAGTCACAGGCAGAGGTCATGGCAGATCAGACTTCCTTTAGCAGGTAAAACAAGAGGGTCAGTTTTCAGGCCAGTCAGATCAAATTAATCACTGGCACAGCTAAGGAGGAAAGATGTGTTGATTTGATGTTATTGTAGCCAATACCACCAATCAATGCTAGAGTGTAAAATTACACTACATCCTAGTAAATTTTATCTCATGTGTATGCTCATCTATGTTTTTATCTTGATAGCTCCTTGAAATTTTCCTGTCCTTATTCCTAACAGATGTATATTTTTTGAATA